AATCAAATTCTACACATACCCAACCACCTCCCTCCCTACTCTCCCGCCGGCGACAACCTCCTCCGACGGGCCGACGTTCGTCAGCCCACGGCCACATCACCACCCACCGCCGACCACGAAAATGCATCCACCACTGTCATTCGAAATTTTTGTCCGGTTTCCTCAAATTTCCGGCGACGTCGAGACGCGACGTCACATAACCAGTCTCACGGGCCAGAGGCGCAACATCGCACAAGATGCAGCTGGAGATGTGAACGGCGGACGACACGCCGGATTCTCCACGAGAGCCTCTTCTCGGGTTCTGCTCTGTTACCGGAAAGAGGAAGCACGGTGGCAGTCTGTGGTGGATGACGGCGGTTGTGTGGGGACAGAAAAGTCATGGCCGATAGGCCTGCAGTTGTGGTCGACTGGCCGCAGGTGTTGACGGAGGCGGCGGTGATCTGTGCTGTCGGTGGCGGCGGGGACTTGAGACGAACAGGGGGCGACGAGATTGGCGAGGTTTTATCGACGGGCAGCGCTTGGCGGCCGAAGGCGGTGGTCTGCGGCTGCAGGTGGTGGTGGTGGTGGATCCCTCAGTGTGTGTTTGTGTGTGTACAGAGAGAGATATGTGCGTGCACAGAGAGAGATAGATAGATCTAGTGTGTGTATTTTGTGTGAATGTGTGAGAGAGAGAGAGAGAGAGATAATTTAGGGTTGGTGTTTTGTGGTGGGTCCCACATATGAGTTGGACATTTATAATGACTATAATATCCTTAATAGTTGGTCAAATATATACATTTGACCAGAATGTGTATGTTAATTTACCATACTGCCATTAATGATTGACCAAAATTTGACTTGATCATGACCAATGATTTGATAAATCCAATCCAATGGTTTATATCTATTCTTATTTCTTTCACTATCCCCCTTTCTCAATTGAACCCAACTCTATATTTCATTAAGGATTTATATCCATAAGTATATAGATGTTAAATTTCAGTTCTTCAACGTGTGCTACATATTTTCCTTACAAATAATTTTTAAGAAAAAAATGGACAACTTTAAGAATACATATTATATATAATATTTTAAATAATTTTAATTTTAAACATTTATTTATTTCATGTTTTATAAATAAGATAATTTTTATATTCTTTATAACATAAACATAAATTACATTACATATTAACCTTATATCTTTAATTTATAATTATTATTTAGTAATATTGATTCATATGTTTAATTTATCCATATATCACACAAACTACGCACTAATTATTTAAAATGACATTAAAGATTTAAGAAATATTTCAAAAAAAAAAAATATTTAACATTTTCACTATAGATATTCTTCTTCATTTTATTTTAGCCTTATTTGGTTATCAGCGATTAGCGGCTAACTATTATCGAATTATATCAACTGTTTTGACCAGTGGATTATGTCAACTGTTTTGATCAGCGAATTTTATTAACTGTTTGTAAAATAGTGTTTGGTAAAATTAGTTGTTTGTAATTAACAAAATGATAAATTGGTAGTTTGATGTTTAACTGATTATATTTAAAATTTAAATATAAAAAATTCATATAATTTAATATTTTTATTTATGTCATAATAATAATTATTTTAATATCTCAAATAAAATTTTGTAGTATATATCACTATATATATTTATTCATATTTTGTTTAGGGAATTGCAAAAGAAAATAAATAAAAAGTGAAACACAATCCAATTGAAACCCCGTCATTAAGCCTTTTTGTTTTCCATTGCCCAATAAATTAGTTCAAGCCTTTTTTTTTTTCATTGTCCAAAAGTTAAGATCAAACGCTCCTAATAGCAGCGTTTTCTATAATGGCTTTTTCATCCAAAAAGCTATTTAAAAAGGCTAATTTACCAAACAAGAAATTTGGCCAGTCAAACAGCTAATATTGATTCAAACAGTAAAGGCTATCCAAAAAGCTATTTACCAAACATGGCCATTGTCTTACAATTAAAATGTTATAAAAGAAATTAAAATGGTATTAAAGAGATATGAAAGATTAAAAATTATTTTCTTAAAAAAAACTATATTGTATGTTGTTTAAATTTTAAGTTTTTATAATTAGGTGCAACAATTTTCTCTTCACTAAAATTTTGTGTTAGATTTATAAATAAAATCTTTCTTAAAAAAAATATATTCATTTAAATATAACTAAATAATCTACCTAGCGTGGTAAAAAATTCGCTCATACCCTAAATCCCTAATTCGCTCCAGTCGTCGTCCATCTTCCTAACATGTCTTCCCCGACAGGAGGCCGGGCCCTTGGCCGGTGGATGGCCCTTAGTCACACTGCCTCTATCATAATCTCGTCCTCCCATTATCAACTCGCGCCGATAAAGGATGATGACAGCCTAACGGCCGGGTGTCGTCATTCTCTGATTGTCGATCGACGGATGGTTTGTCAGCCTTTCCGGGCTCGAGGTGGTACAAAGTGGTGGTGCGGGGTTAGGGCTTGGGTGTGGCCCTAGCCGCTCGTAATTTCAGTGGCAGGGCATACGGGGTTGAGGAGTGGCAACTTCTAGCCCTTGTTCCCATTTTCTCCAGTGTGAAATGGATGGGAAGCCGGCGTTGCAAGGCCTTGGTTAGTTGTGTTGGCCGAGTCGAGAGCGGTGGTAGTGTGGGTTGTTGCACTTCTAACTGTGGGTCGGATTCTTCTTGAAGTGGTTTGAGGTCTTTGGATTCAACTTCAATTAGGCGTTTTTGGGTCTAGTCTTTTGCATTTGTCTGCACGAGGAACGGCCTGTGTTTTTTTCGTTTAGTTTAGTTAGTTTGTTTTATGTGTTTGGTATTGTTTGTGTTTGTTGTTGGTTTGTGTTTTCTTCCAAGTTCTTCTGTTGAAAACTTTGTAGTTTGTTATGATATGAATAAGTTGGTGTAATTGTTTTTAAACTATCTCTATGTAGGCATTGATTAACTGATTGGCTATCCTAACTATTTTCTAGTTGTAATTACGTTATTTTTCATTTTAAATAAATTCTATCGTTCTAAAATATATATATATATATATAACTAAATAAATATATATATATATATATAACTAATTAATTACTTAAAATAATATTTAAAATAAAATGATTAAAATTAATTTAATGTAAAATTAAGACTTAATTGTTTATGAAATAATTTATTTAAAATAAATTATTTTGATTAAATATAGTTAATTTTAAAAAAAAAATATAATTAGATATTAATAAATAATTAAAAATGATAAATAATTAAAATTATGTAAATAATTAAATAAATAAATAGTAAATTAAAATTGATGTAATGTATAAGAATGATTGTTTTGTATTATTTAATTATATAAATAATATTAAAGATAATGAAATCTATATATATATATAATTGCTAGCTAATCCCATTTAGTAAAACATTTAATAAAAATATTTTCACTTTTCCTCCAAAAGGAGTTACATTTTTTTTAATTAATTACTCATTAATCTCACATTTAAGAAGGTTTTTTATAGTTAAATTTATTTAGTTAATGACTAAATTAAAAAGATTTATTTTAATTAATCTCACATTTATGTTAAGTACAGTATTATCTTAATATCTTATCAGTTTTTCAAAAAAATAGTAACTTTTTTCAATAAATTTTATAAAAATTAGTCAAATGTGCTTATATTCATCCCCGTGAGCACGCCGTCGCCATCTCGCCATCGCCCACGCGCAGACGACCGCCGCCTGCAACCCTCCCCGTGCAGTTATGAGAGAACATCACAAGCTTTGAGCCCATCGTCGAGTCTATCAAGATCAAGCTCGAAAGAGAAGTCGTTGAAATAACTTGAATCCGCAAGGGTAATTCTATACTCATTATCAATTACTTTAAATTTTTTGTTTATATTAAAAATTAATATTATATTTACTCATTTATATTTAGATGGTATTTTTTTTATTAAGAAGCAAGGACAATCTCTATCAATCAATAAGAGTCAATGACAAACAATATAAAGAAGTGTTTCCTATGTTATGACATGATCCATAAGAGTCGAAGACAGTCTCTATCGCACGTCGGCTTACTACTGAAGAGCTCTGCATTTAGTCATGAGCAATTATACGTGGCGCTTTTTAGAGTTACGAGTCAGTGGGATTTGAAGATTTTGATTTGAACTGAAGTGGAATTTGAAGATTTTGATTTGAACTGAAGGAGATTTTGATGATAGAAAAACAGTTACGAGTCAGTGGGATTTGAAGATTTTGATTTGAACTGAAGTGGAATTTGAAGATTTTGATTTGAACTGAAGGAGATTTTGATGATAGAAAAACCACGACGTTGTTTTATAAAGAAATGTTTAAGAATATTTATATTTTTTTTCTTAATTTTTTTCAATGAATTAAGTTATGATTTTTACTATTGTTTATAATTTTTATTATTTTTCATGTATCATATAGTTTTCCGTGCAAATGCACGAGAAAAAAACTAGTAAAATTAAATTTTAAATATGAAATAAAGTTAGACTAAATTATTTTATAAACAATCAAGATCTCAAAAATTAGATAAGCATAAAGTTATGAAGATTTCTCTATCCAAAACCAAAACACATACTCATAGGTCTAGGCGCAGAATCTCAGATAAATTTGATAATTATTAGGAAATTAGTGACTTCGAATTTTTTATCTCTTTTAGAGTCACTATTTTGTAATGGATCATTAGGTGGTCTCACTTTTCAGTCTCTAGATTTTTTGTTGAAGAAAAATAATAATTTGATCTAACTTTGCAAAGAACTGTTGGTACAGATTGCAAGTTCGTTACTAGTTTTCTTGTTCAACCTACAAGTATGGCTAATCAATCAGAAAGTATAAAAAAGGAAGAAAAACTATCAATTATCAATGAGGGAAAAAAAAATAAGAACACGTTGAAGGCCAAAATGGAAGGGCCTTAAATCACCAATACAATTGGAACAACTAAAATTAAAATGAAGCAGAAAAAGTATCAACTTATATATTCGACAATTTCAAGACGGGTGCTATTGTTCCTCTCAGACAAATGCCTCGATTTGTCCACATGATTTTAAAGAATGGATTTCCATCAGACTCGTCATCTTAATTTGATCATCACCGAGAAACATAAGAGTAGAAACCCCTTTACTCAAGAAAATACAGTACATACGTATTAAAATTAAAAGAAAAAAAAAACAGAAAAACTTGAACAACCGAAATTCCATATTAATGTCTCCTCAGTTCAGGTCTCCATAAAGTTTCAGCATAAATTAATATCTCAGAAGAACGAAAGTTATAAGCTTTTAATCATCATCGGAGACTCATATTAGTAATGCAATTATTCAAGAACAAGTGAACGGTGTATCTATTCATGTTTTTTTTAATTCAAAATAGGAAATATAAAGTTTAAACTACACCATCAAATATCAGAATAAGAAAATTGAAGCCTCCTCCAGCTCTCCAAAAAAACATTATTTTCACAACTGAAGTTATAAAACTACAGTCATCCGAAGAACAACAGAACAATAAATAAATAGATCCAAAAATAAATAAATAAAGAAAAGGATTCTCTTCAGCTCAGGTCTCCATATGGATTCAGCACAAGATTACTTCTCAGGAGATAAAAGGTCTATTTTTCAAAATCATCATCAGAGAAATATGAATGAAAGATATATGAAAAAGAAAAGTGATAACAGAAGAAAGGGAGAAAGCAGAGTAATTAAAAACTCATCACACGAATCAAATATGAAACCATAATATCAATGTTCGAAATAATAAACTGAATCTATAAAAACTCAGCGGCTTGAATGATACCTTCACATCCTGGTATGTTTATATAGAACATAGCAATTGAAAACCCTAGAGATTTCGGTACATAGTGGGCCGATTGAGCGAATTGGAACTTATTGGGCTCTTTACTTGGCTACCAAATACCCAATTTGGAAATATTTCGGCACCATGGGCATAAATGATTTCGGTTAACGCTAAAATAACATAGTACGAATCTCGTGCAAGAAGAGATATTTATTATTTATAAAAATATTTATTAAATAATATTTATAAATTAAAAATATAAAATCATTATTCAATACAATTTACATATATTAATTTATTGAAAATATTATATAAAATTTAAATTGTGTAAAATGACATATATATTTATTTAAAATTAATACGCAACTCGTACGGTGCACGTAATTGATAATAAAGTACATTATATTCATTTCAAAACAAGTGTCATTTTAAAAAATTTATTCAAAAATTCGATTTGACTGCAACGTGGTTCCATAAAATATTTATTTTGGTAAAATTTTATCATATATTTAAAATTCTATGTGAATAATAAGTATAACTATAAAACTTATATTATTTCAGTAATTGATATGAATTTTTTTTGTATAAACTATTCAAATAAAAAAAATTGAATAGTTGAGTAATTTGTTTAACTATAAATAATTGGCTAATTTCATTTATATCCAACTTAATGTTGACATGTAAGTTATGAATAATTACTTATTTGACTTTTAAGTTTTGAACCTAAATTTGGACTACACAATAAATCCACCCATCTCGTAGTGTAGCCGTCGACCTGTACATGGTCTGATAATGTGTATTCATCCATCTCCATCTATGGTTAATGGAGCATTCATCTACGCTCGAGAGCGGACTCTTCACCTTCTTCATGGCCGTCGCAGAAGTGCTCGGCTATGCCGTCGGAGCCGCCAACAGCCTCCACCGCCGCCTCCCTTTCGCAGCAAAAATCGATGAGAGCGGCGCGCGCTTTAAGGTGTGTTTCATTCTACACGTCGGCAGGGGCGGACGCAGACATTTAAAAACAGGGGGCACAATATAACTCTCCTCCGCCATCACAATGAGCTTGGCCTTTTCCTTGGACATTTCTTTCATCGGCAACACTCGTAAATATTCGTTTATAATATTTCTCCATAACTAATATAACAAATAATAATCAAATGAGGTTAGAACTTAGAAATGAGTGACAAGAATAAATTAAGAGATAATTTTAAACTATTATTACAAATATAAAGATACCTAAAACAAATAATACATAAAAAAATACACAACCAATAAGAAATAACATTTAAGATGCTATTTTATCAAAATCATGAAAGCTCTAAATTAAAAATTACATAAATTTTGAAAATCCCCAAATACAACTTTAGGGTTATAAAAATTAGAAAATAATTAAATAAAGCATACATTTTGAAATAAAAATTCACAGCCAATTGAGGAAGTATAAGTTAAACCCACTTTGATTATTGAAAGATTTCTTTTATTTTTTTTCCTGTAATTGCACCCAAATTGTATAGTTCTGCGAGTGCGAGAGGAAATAAAGAAGAGGAATGTGAACAGACCACAAAGACAGAATATGATATAAGTTTCGGATTTGGCTGGGAGTGGGAAGTTAAAACAAGAAAAGTTGATATATAATGAAATAATAAGAAATTGAAAGTGAGTATGTTGTAATAAATTTTGGATTTGGCTGCGTAAGAAATTGATATATACTCAATTGGCATGTTGTAATAGAGGGCCCACAATAAAAGTTAAAACAATTAAAATATATATATATTGAAAGTGGGTATGTACTATTATATATATATGAATATGTATGTACATATCTCTCTTTTTGCTGGGAGTATGTAATATATATGTATTGAAAGTTTTTCCACCACAGGGGCACATGCCCCTGCTGGCCCCCTGTGGGTCCGCCATTGCACGTCGGGCTCGTCGTGGGCTCTGTGGCGGGCCTCGTCGGGGAGGAGCCGCTCGACCACGTCCGTGAGACTTCCAATCACTCTACGATTGTGCATAGAAAAAGCTCACCCCACTGGACACTTCCAACCCTACGTCCCTTAGCCTCTCGAGCCAGGTTAGGATAACCGAGTCGAGGTGGGGCCTCAGTTCACAACACTTTAAAGCCAGCTTGGCCAGTGAGAGGACCTCCTCGACTGGCCAGTACCCAATCGTGCGGTCGAGCACACCCCCAAATTATCCTGACTCGATCGTGATCTCAACATGGTGCGAGAGCCCAATAGCTGGTCAGGCCGTGAGGATTTGCATTAGCATGACCCTGAACAAGCATACGTCAAATTTGGTCCAAGCATGCTTGAAGGTAGGTTGCAGTTGCGGTTGTGGATAGCCGGGTTTGTGACCGAAAGATAGACTGGTTGACAACCGTCGCGCTGAACGTCGAACCGTTGCTACCTAATCGGGCGCCAGAGGTGGCTGTGCAAGATGTTTGTGGGCTGAGTGTCGGGCTGAGGCTGTGAGCGGGATGCCGGTAGCGGCAAGCATTGCTAATCAGAGGTGCGACTGTTGTTTCGAGGAAGATGACCGGAATGGTGAACGAACAATAAAGGTAAGGCTATGAGGTTCAAACCGACGCGTTTCTGGTCGATGGCAGTTGGCTAAAGGCTGGTTGCAGAGGATCGACTGCAGACGTGTCTGTGCGCGACTGCATTTCTCAGCGTTTCCCGACTGAAGGCAGTGCTTGGATGCCACGACGTCGTGCTGGGTGATTTATGCTCCATGGTTGTCGGGCTGTTTGGACACCCGAACAAAAGGTTGCAGGCTTGCCGACGATGGTTGTACAAACTGCAGAACGTGGATGACTGAACTGATCGGCGTAAAAGTGCTGGTCGGAGATTTCAACAGCCTTCATGACTGACGTTCATTTTTCATTTTTTTCTTGTTCATTTTTTTTAAAAAAATTATGGAATTCCTAAAAATACCCTTGTGGACTAGTTGTTTTTGGACAAAAACAGTTTTAATTCATTTTAGATGACAAAGATACAAACTCACGTAATTTAGATAATGATTTGTAAAAAAAAAAAAATATATGATGATGTGCCAAAATCAGATGAGACAAAAAAATTTTTCCCAATCTTTCTATATACAATCGCCAGCTAAAATAAAATTCCCCCTTGGTCAAATGTGTCTCCACTAAGTCGAATATTTGTAGTGGCAAAGTTTTATGCGGTCGTCTTATAATACGCAATAATATTTAGCAGGTACCGATGCAAGAAAATTAGATAATATTCACTATTTTGCCGAAAGTTTTTCTATTAGTATATTTTAAAAACACTCGCACGGTACTATAAAATAAGAATATCACTAGCAAATCTGAAAGAAGGATTTAAATATAAAATACTTAGATCCCTAGTTTTCCTTGCGCCATTATCCATGTATTAAGAAAGTCTTAGCTGCAATTAGTATAATAGTATGCCGCAATGGGACCACTTTGCCAGCTAATTACTGTAATTACTTTAAGTTATCCGTGCACTTGTCTGCCATTCGTAACCTGCAAAATCCAATCAGATAAAACTAACTAATTATTATTATTATTTATTATTATTATTATTTTTTATGTAGCTCACATCAGTAAATACTAAATACTGATCAGTGTATTAGTGAGAGTGCATATGCAGCTCCACTACAAACCAAGATAACAAGAGTCAACAGTTCAGCACTCACTCAACCCCTTCTATATATTTTCTCCTTAAACTAGGGTTTTTGTTCCAACTTTCTGGTAAATTTGGTTCAACATGTTCTTGAAATTCATCTCGTCAGTTTGGCTCTTGCCTAATCTTCATGTGGGCACACGCTGTTTCGTTCTACAGGTAAACGTTTTTCTTTTTCCATTTAAAAAANACAGTTGATTGTGTTGACTTATTTCATTCCCCAGAAAACCCCTGTTTTTCTGTATGCTGTGAAGCTGGTTGCAAACAAGTTTGTTTTTGAGTCCGTTTAAGTCTGCTGCGGTTACCCACCTATCAAACACCCAAAATAAACAAAAAAGTGAAAAAAAAGGAAATGGTGTCTAGATCATATTCAAATCTCTTGGAGCTAGCCTCGGGCGAGTCCTCTTCCCCATCCTTCACTCGTATGAGCCGTAGGATCCCTCGAATCATGACTGTCCCCGGAATAATCTCCGATGACGATGATGAATACTCAGATAGCGTCTCGTCTGACTCATCATCTTCGTCCCCTCAAAAGGACAGAATAATAATCGTAGCCAATCAGCTCCCAATACGGGTCCACCGCAAGACCGATGGCTCAAAAGGTTGGACTTTCACATGGGAAGACAACTCACTCCTCCTCCAGATGAAGGACGGGTTAGGCCCAGACAAGATGGATTTCATATACGTCGGCTGTCTGAAAGATGAAATCCACCCCAATGACCAAGACGAAGTGTCCCAAATCCTGCTCGAGACCTACAAATGTGTTCCGACCTTTTTGCCCCCGGATTTATATACCCGATACTATCACGGGTTCTGTAAACAGCAGCTGTGGCCCTTGTTTCACTACATGCTGCCCTTATCACCTGATTTGGGCGGCAGGTTTAATCGTTCATTGTGGCAGGCTTACGTGTCGGTCAACAAGAATTTCGCTGACAGGATAATGGAGGTTATTAACCCGGAAGATGACTTCGTGTGGGTCCACGACTACCATTTGATGGTTCTTCCCACTTTCTTGAGAAAGAGGTTTAATCGGGTCAAGCTCGGGTTTTTTCTCCACAGCCCTTTTCCCTCGTCCGAGATTTACCGGACTCTGCCCATAAGGGAGGAGCTTTTACGGGCCCTTTTAAATTCGGATTTAATCGGCTTCCACACATTCGACTATGCCCGCCATTTCTTGTCTTGCTGTAGCCGAATGCTTGGTCTAACGTACGAGTCTAAGAGGGGTTATATCGGGCTCGAGTATTACGGCCGCACGGTCAGCATCAAGATTTTACCCGTCGGCATTCACATGGGCCAGCTTCAGTCGATTTTGAGTTTACCCGAGACCGAGGCAAAAGTGGCCCAACTCATCAAACAATTTTCGGGACAAGGAAAAACTATGCTCCTAGGCGTAGACGACATGGACATATTCAAAGGCATTAGCTTGAAGCTGCTGGCAATGGAGCAGCTTCTGTTGCAGCATCCAGAGAAGAAGGGCAAAGTTGTCCTCGTGCAGATAGCGAATCCCGCCAGAGGCAGAGGAAAAGACGTGAAGGAAGTTCAAGAAGAGACTTACGCTACGGTCAAACGGATAAACGAGACGTTCGGTCAACCGGGCTACGAGCCCGTTATTTTAATCGAGCAGCCGTTGAAATTTTACGAGAGGATCGCGTATTACGTGGCGGCCGAGTGTTGCCTGGTGACAGCTGTCAGAGATGGAATGAACCTCATACCGTACGAGTACGTGATTAGCAGGCAGGGCAATGAGATATTGGATCGGGCTCTTGGGCTTGAGGCCTCGGGCCCGAAAAAGAGCATGCTTGTCGTCTCCGAGTTTATAGGCTGCTCGCCTTCTTTGAGTGGGGCCATTCGAGTCAACCCTTGGAATATCGACGTTGTGGCTGAGGCAATGGACTCGGCTCTTGTGATGGCCGAGCCCGAAAAGCAGTTGAGACACGAAAAACACTATAAGTATGTGAGTACGCATGACGTGGCTTATTGGGCCCGAAGTTTTTTGCATGATCTTGAGAGGACTTGTAAGGATCATGGGCGTAGAAGGTGTTGGGGAATCGGGTTCGGGCTAAGTTTTCGGGTTGTGGCGCTCGATCCAAATTTCAGGAAGTTGGCTATGGAGCACATAGTGTCGGCGTATAAGAGGACGAACAAGAGGGCTATTCTGTTGGACTATGATGGGACATTGATGCCTCAGAACTCGATAGATAAGAAGCCGAGCTCAAAATCGTTGGATATTATAAATGATTTGTGTAGGGATAAGAACAATATGGTTTTTATTGTGAGTGGCGGGCGACGGGATCAGTTGGAGGAGTGGTTTTCGTCTTGTGAGGACTTGGGAATTGCTGCAGAGCATGGCTATTTTCTCAGGTATGTGATTTTTACGTGAAGAAAAAATTAGTTGTGAATCTTTTATTTCTAATTTAGTCGTGCATGCAAATAGAAGGTGAAGATTGAGCAAAAAATAATGTGCTTTCCATTATACATTAACACAAATGTACGTATAAGCGGATTTTTAGGACGAGGCGTGATGAGGAATGGGAAACGTGTATACCGGAAGTGGAATGCAATTGGAAGCAAATTGCGGAGCCTGTAATGCAGCTGTACACTGAGACAACAGATGGGTCAGTGATTGAATATAAGGAAACTGCAATGCGTTGGTGTTATGAGGATGCAGACCCTGATTTTGGGTCATGTCAGGCTAAAGAGCTTCTCGACCATCTTGAGAGTGTGCTTGCTAATGAGCCCGTTACTGTCAAGAGCGGAACAAACTCTGTGGAAGTTAAGCCTCAGGTATGTCAAATTCTTGTTTCCTTTACACAACACATGCACACGCGGTTTCTAATAAAATTGAAATACTATAGTTATGCATGGATGGATGGTCAACTTAATGTTTGTGCAACTGAATAAAAATATATATATCTTTAAAAGCTATTTTTCTGAATTCCGTGATTCTTTATACTTTTCTGATTAGTTTGAGGCAGGTATACCCTTATCAATATATCATACTGTTTTATGTATTTGCTTATAAATTGTGGCTTTATTGTACTCTGAATGACATCATTATTTAAGTCGTATCTTGTTGAGGAAGTTCATTTAGTATACAGTAGTCACCCATTGTCTAACGTAAATAGGTGGGGTCGTCGAATATTGAGCCTTAAACGACCTCTTACCAGTTTGTTGCAAAATCTAAAACATTGTCAAGGAAGGAAAGACATTTGGCATTTAATGATGTCACAAATCTTTAACATACATCATACAGCAATTCCAAACTTCAAAGTAACTAGGCGTGGCTCGTGCAATCCGCGTCTCCACCGTGATAAGCAATGAGAATTAGTTCTACAATAACTTTTAAATTAACCAAAGTTACGATCTTACCAATCATGTCATTCTATTAGGCCAATCATGTCATTAATATTATAAATAATATCTTTAATTAACAATAAATTGAGAGCACGGTTTAAATTTTGCCATGAACATTTGATTCAATGTATATTTATGATCAATTCATGATCTATTTAATGATTATATATGACAAATCGTGTTGTATTTTTTTTGGTAACAATTACAATAATATGAATAATAAAGATTTGTTCAATAAGTGATAACCTTAATTATATTTTCAATGAAATATATTTTTGTATATGTTACAAATCAGTATAATAACAAATATAAATTATAAATTAGAATAAAAACTTCTGAGCCTAATATGTTTTCCAAAAAATGGGTTATGGTATTCTATATATAAAGATATCGATACATTCGTGTTACGTTTGCTTTGTTGTTATGTGGTTTTGACTTTTGATATCACTCATTTTCAAAATATTTGATTCCTATTATGTAGTTTGGTCCAAAAGCTTATATTGGTTGGTTTGTGAATCGTGAATTGTGAATTTTGACAGGGGGTGAGCAAGGGAGTTGTTGCGAAACGTGTGCTGTCGGGCATGCAAGAGAATGGGATGTGCCCGGATTTTGTGCTGTGCATTGGTGACGACAGGTCAGATGAGGACATGTTTGAGGTGATAACGAGCTCTGTCGCGGGCCCCACCATAGCTCCCAATGCAGAGGTGTTTGCATGCACGGTTGGGCGTAAGCCGAGTAAGGCCAAGTACTATCTCGATGATACCCTCGAAATTGTTCGACTCATGCAGGGATTGGCCTCAG